CTGATTTACTATACCTTGTAACATATGCATATTCACCACAGAATTGTTGTTGTATGACATTTCTAACACTTTCAATCTGCTGCTGTTGTTGTAACATATCTTCCAATAATGACATCAGCAATTTACTAAACTCCTGGGCATCCTGAAATAAATTGTGTACACACCTCAATAAATGATATTTCTGTTAATCAATCCAAAGCAATCCCAGAAGTAGAGAAATGGTTACAAATAAAACAAATGACCTGACGGTTAAAATAGCTTCGCTGTCCTACACATACCCACAAAAAAGTAGTCTGGTTTTGCTTGTTTTTTTTTTGTGATGTCATGGCCAGTATTTATTTATTTCTATAAAATGCATTTATTTTGTCTATTGTGACATATTGATGCTCATGCGTAAAAAATTCACATAAATATTGGATTATAACTACTATGGAACCAAGCACATATTTAAACTATGTTTTTAATTGCTTCATAAAATCATTCATTTTGATAGTAAGAATGTAATAAGTATTTTACTTTTTTTCTTCTATACAATGATGTATGTGTATGGAATACAATTTTGTGATTGTGTTAGTTTAGATTTAAGCATAATTCTCATTTGATGGGAGGGAATGTTTTACACAGCCAAAAGAGCCTTGAATTCAAAAATTTTACCAAAAATTACAAAAATATTTGCCAAGAATAAAGAATAAATCATATGTACCCAAAATGAACTAACCCGATAGAGATCAACCCAAGGTACTTAAATATAACATATCAAAGTAATCGGGCTGGTAGTTCTCAAGAAGAAGTTGAAAATAGCATTTTTTACTCAAAACTACAAAAATACTTGCCAAAAATAGAGAATAAATGATATAGTTGTGAAATGAACAAATCTGACAGAGCTCCCCATACCTACATTAAATATATCAAAGCAACTATGCTGGTAATTTTCAGGAAGAAGTCAAAAACATTTTTTTATACTAAAAATGACAAAAAGTATTCGCTGAAAATACAGAATTGAAGATGATGTCACAAAATGAACAAATCTGACAAATGGACCCAGGAATGAACTGAATATTTATAAGTGTGTACATGGTTTTATTTCTGATTGTTTTAAGTACAGTACTCATTCCGCCCAACCTCCCGCTTTTATCGTTTCTTTTCCCGACCGATTCAAAATACAACGCGTATTGCTTCTCTGTAATGGGAAGGAGGACAAAGACGCTTTCAAATCACTTGACACATTGTAACGTTTGCTACACAAGTCGAACTGTGACCTGAAATAAATAAAACGTGTTGAAACACAGTCTTTCACTCACGCAATATAATTATGTATATGATTATCCCAAAGCACTTATATTTAATACATTGACGAAAAACATCACATAAAAATATAAATCAGGCTTGTAATTACTAGTAACTCAACTCGAACGCAATATTGATCACTATAAAAGTGGACAAAATTCGAACCGTCATCAAATTCAAAATGATCTCATTGAATGTCAATCAAAAATAAACTCGATGTTTAGAAAGGCAAAAACAACAACATATTAGAGTGCAAAAAAAATTAGCAGCAAAGAACGAGAAATGCACGTGGGAAAGCGATGAGTGAACTTGAGGAAAATTAATAACGTGCAAAATTTGAATCCTTTATTTTATAACGAGACATCGGGCGCAAAAATAAAAACCATAATTGTAATTCAACAAGTTTATGTAACGTGTTAGTCCGCTTGCCAGCCACCTAGTTAAAAAGTGCGATCTCCATTGATGTCGGCTTCGACAACTTCGGACAAGTAAGATGGGTGCTGGCTGACATTACATTTGCAAGTATTGTACAGTACGGTCATTCTATAACAATCAATTGTTCGTTTTTTTCACAGTTTTAATATTCCAGCAGATATTCTTCAATTGTTATAGGTGCCACGAATTTACATAACTACAACTTGACCCGTGTTAAACCCAAACCATGCGTGCATGGCAACAGTCACCCTACACATGGTTACTCGACTAGTACCGTACTCTACAGTAGAAATTTCTCGCTCTCCATCAAAAATAGATGGTTTTATTTCATATCAGTTGTGTCTGTATCAGTGCCGTATTTGATTTCACATGTTTGGTTCGATCTTGTTTATGGTGGACATTATTACTACGCGTATGTATTATTACCAATTTTATATGGCAGTGTGATCCACCGTATTTTTTCAACAGTCCTTCTATAAATTTCTGATTGTATTTATTCTTCTTTTAACATCATAAAAACAACAAGTCATTGTCAATGACACATCCCCGTTCCGTTCATATTTGAGTGACATACTGTAGAATACTTTATTTTCGCTTGGAATTTATTTTCGCTATTTTCGCTGAAGGATTATTCCGTGAAAATAAAAACCAGCGAATATACTTTTTTTTCCTATATTTCACATTAAACTTATTAAAAATCAGTGAAAATAAATTCCATATAAAATGCTCAAAATGGCTTTTCAGCGAAAATTAATTCCAGCGAAAATAAAGTATTCCACAGTATACATTCAAAGCAGATCATGACTGAAATGCACCTGTATATGTACAACACATTGTACTAAATCTGAACAAAATCCATCCATGCATGACTGAGATCCGGTTTCGGAATTGTGAAAATACGTGATTTTGATGCATTTTCGGCCTTAAAATGGCCATCATTCAGCTATTGTTAAGCGGATCATGAAACAAATGCACATATCTATTTGTGACATGATGTACCACGTGTGTGTGAAGTTTGAACTTGATCAATCCAGGCATGTCTCAGATACGGATCCAGAACTGAATTCTTTAAAACAAAATGGCCGCTAGTCGGCCATTTCAAACCCGATCCAAAAAAACAAAACAATAGGTAATGAACTGTAAATGCGGGCGGTTGTGCTGTCAGGCGAGCAATCGAGCGGATACTTGCGAATTTGGTCAAAAAAAAAAGCGGAAATTGTCTGGTCGAATTAAACAAAGCGAGCAAAAATAAAGCGTTCGAAATCCGGAAGCGAACGGGAAGTTGGGCGAAATGAGTACTGTATACAGTATAGAGGCTGTGGCGCCTTCGAATGGCAGAAGTGATATAAATATAAGTACCTGTTGTAAAGCAGCATCCAGTCCCAGACAATCAATGAAAGCTGATGGATCAATGTACCTACAAATACAGGGAAAGTATGAACCAACTATCAAATACAATTCCAAATTACACTCAACATGTCTATTGCTATGACAAATGGAGATTAAATGATCCATAGTAAGGTAGGGAATTATTGTCTATGATGTCTCATCAGACTGACCCCATCTATTACCTTCTTTTACTGTGTTCTAATAAAGCAAAAATCAGCTGTAGATGGCCACACACTGTTGTCGGTGGTTCATCAGCTGTTGTTAGCTGTGGCAATTCTTTCTTTGGAGATGGTCGGGGTTTCATGTTTGATGTACTGTTGTCTATTGTACAAGAAGAGTTTTATGATATAGTTAATCTTACAAAGTTTCTTAATGACGAGGTCTACATACAATGACATTTAATTTCAAAACTTTATTTCTAATATATACAGATATAAATATATTTTTATAATTATATTGAAGATTGGAACTCGACATAATTTTGTACTACCGGTATAATGTTTGAAGTACCTGGATAACTTAAAATTATATTTGGTTTTCGAATAAAACCAAGTTGTGCATTTACAGACTTTATCACTTAAAATGCTGAAGTTTCACTTTGAAGAATATAAAAATGGAAATCCACTTTTGAGTAATAAATTTAGGAAATTTAGTGTGAATCTAGCCATCTGATTGGCTGAAGCCAGGGTTTATATCTGGCAATATGACTCTGGCCCTATTTGATGAATAATTAATAAAACAAAAACTGGAATAAACTGGATTGAAATATGATAAATATTGTTGTCTGCAAGTCACATAGTAATTATGTCAGACGACGAGCCTCAGATCAATTTTGATCTCAATTTCAAATGGGACCAGCTGGATGAAATTGACGCTACTGATGAAGAACTTCTTCAAGCTACAATTAAATGGAAGCAACAGAACGCCGGCGGTAATAACGAGCCAGATCAACAGATTCCCAGAATTTTCTGAAGAAATGGTCGACAACTTGGCAGCAAAAAAAAATGAGTGAATACTAACGCCTCCACAAAATGGGGTGTGAAATTACTCAAATGTAAGTGTGATAAAAGTCAAAATAAAAAAAAATGACACATCGTAACTATAGTTTGTACTGCTGAACGCCGGCATTTTCATTGTTTATAAACAATGTGTTGAACGTTTGACCCCATGATGACCCAATTTCCATACTAAAATTATGTTTTTCTGTATAGTGTGGTGTTCTGAATGAAAAATCGACCCAGCCTTCGAAATGGTGGAAGTGCAAGAGCTGGCAAAAATATTGGAGCATATTTATGCCGAGGTCAGGGCTAGAGACAGGAAAGAATACAGCATAAAAAGCTACGCTGGAATTCGAGCAGCAATCCGTTACCACGTAACCACGTAACCAATGTTCCATTCAATCGCCCCATTAACAATATCAAAGATCGGGAATCCTGTTACGGCCATTCTTAATTATACAAGTAAGCTTCACCCAAGCAATAATGCTTTTTTCCAGCAGCCTATTAGTAACTTTACAGGAAGGGAAACAACTTGGTATACAAACGCTCCTTTGGGTTACAATACTTTGGGCACTACTGTGCACTAACCACTGTGTGAGAGCAACCACTATAAAATCATTGAACAACGCTTGAATACCAACACGGATAATCATGAATTTAAGTGGCCATCGGAATGAAGGGAGTATCAGGAGCTACTGTTGTGACAATTCTAGTGAACAAAAACGTCAGTGTAGTGACATTTTAATGTCAAAAGTCAGTGTTCCTACCGTTGATGAGCGTGGCAACAATGACCTTTCGATGGCCCCCAGTTCCAGTGTCGTTCGGCCGTCAACATCGGGCATGGCTCAAGTACAGTGTCAGAGAAATATCTGCACAAGTGAAACGGTATGCTCAAGCTCAGTCGCCACAGAAAACCTGTTCAAAAACTGCAATTTCGGAGGCTCTGTATATGTGTATACTAACAATTATATTTCTCCAAAACCAAACTAAAATCCTCAAAAACGACAAGTTGAAAAATTTCAAACCGCCATGTTAAAATTTACCACTCAAATTAATGTATTAATCCAAGATGTTTATAATGTTGATTCATGTGTATATTTTTCCTGTTTTATATTTGTATAAACCTTTTCTATTTATTGACGATGTATTTTAAGTAATAAACTTGAACATTTGCAATTTTATAATAATCTGTTTTATCGCTTTCTCTTGGAATTACATGCCTGTGCGAACGAGTCTCGGAGAGATTTCTATTGAAAGAGTGTATGACAAGGCCCCAGAACATGGTTATTCATTCCTCCCCACACTTTGTTTCGGAAAGATGCCGTATTGCCATTAAATATTCAACGTTGTCGTATTATAATGAGGTTATAAACAGTACGCTCGGGTATTCACCGCGCTCGGTGATTATTTCCCGCCAAATATGGTAATTTCCCCTGAGAGGTCTTATATGCGCTACCAAATACCCCAGCGTGCTGTTTATAACCTCTAAATAAAAGTGTCTCAGAATGTTTGTCTTCTTTTTTTACAGAAATAACCTTTAAAAGTATCTATTTCAGAATTTTTGAATAAATAGAATATGATTTTGTGTCACTAAAATCATGATTTCTTTCATTCTAGAAATCCAATATATTACATACTATACTAGCTAATATTTAAAGAACAAGTCATTGTCAATGACATAGTTCTCCTCCAGTTTTTAGTTACTGTGTCAATTAAAAACAAGCCATGCATGACACAGTCCCTGTTAGTTATCAAATTTATAATATATAGTTTTGTTTATAGTAATATAGTTGGAACATAAACAGTTTGATTTCCCTGACTTTACATGGTTAGGTCCTGGGCTTGTGATCGGAAAAATATGATATAATTAAATGTTGCAGGAGTATTCAACATGTTGAAGAACAAGTCATTGAGAACAGAACTTTCTTGAACAAATTTAAGTATGAAAATAAAACAGCATTTTGAATTAAATTACAATACAGTCTTGCATGAAAACCATTGTCTGTAATATTCAAACCAAGTTTGAATAAAAGCCACAATACCAGAGAAGCTGAAGCGATGCTGTAGTGAAATTAAGAACAAAGTCTATGTGACAGCTATACTGTAATCGTTTCATTTTAACTGGTATTGGTATGTTACTTCCATTTTTGTCAACTACTGTAATAACAAAATTATAATATACAACTGACCTGTTACATCTCCTGAACCAATCTCTATCGTCTCAATTTCATCTTTTTTAATCTGAGAGTTCACTTTGCAAGATACATCTGTATAATTACTTGAAGATTTGACTTTCTTGGTTTCTGTTGGTTTTACAACAGAGTTGTTATTTTGGCTAGAAGTACTGGCTATGTTATCTGTCTCAGTAGTAGTATTAGATAGCAATCCAACTGTGGAACTCTTTTTAGCTGGAATGTTAAAGTGAAATAGTAAATAAGTAAAAATAGTCTACATACTCAAACCACTTCCTAATCTTAATTTCTTAATACAAAACACAAAAAAATCATACATAAATACATTGTCAACAAAGCAAGACAAAAATAAATTAGGTAAGCATTATGGATTTCAAATATCAATATTTGACACTACTCAACATTGGCTAGTTCTGAATCATTATTCCCAATCATCCCCACATAAAATACATGTTTAATAAAATACATGTGTAATCCACGTCAGTGTATTCCATTAGCATATTCCACAATAATAATGTGTGCACATTCTGAGGTATGCGCACTGTGCTCTCTGCTGCAGATCTTGGCACTCTACCTGTCATGCATGTCAATTTTGTCATGATCATTTTTTTTCCTGATTGATTTGCACTCATAATAATAATAATAATAATAATCAAATTTTATTGCATCCTTAGAAATTACAATATTTCTTTTGGTAAAAAGCAATAAATATATACGTACACAACACAATTACAATACAATATAAATAGATACGTTAAAGTTTTCTGTACTCCATGGCTTTAAGTAGATAGGTCCCCATACATTTAATTGCCTTGGAGTCCTTGTTGCTCATCAAAAATATAAAATTACTCAATTTATCTCCTGCATTAGTTAATGTAATTTCTGTGAGCAATTCATGTCTAATATATTTGTACCGATCACATTCTAAAAGGAAGTGAACTTCATCTTCTATTTTATTTTGGGAACATAAATTACAAATTCTTTTTTCAATGGGAGTTTCATCATAATGATGAGGTCATTTGCTGCTGATACCAGATATTTTTTTGTGGTATTGCAAAGAGCAGTAATATTATTTTCTATAATTTACCTGTCTTTGTTTTATCTGGAATCCACTGGTATAAAGCTCTACGCAATGTACTGTTATGAAACCATACCTATAAGAACAAAAAGACAAATCAGTAAAAACACACATTCCAACAACACATAACTTGATCATGTGTGTTTCATACTCACAATCTACACTGCTACACAAGATTCACATCATATATCCATAATACCAAGAAATACACAAATAAAAAAGGTCAAGACTATTTTATTCTATATGAACACTTACCTGAAGTAAGGTGTTCACATAACATGTGGCACCTAAGTTTTTCAGTCCCACAAAAGAACCCTGAAATAAAGTAAACAGGTTGATAAAGAACAAACTATATAAACAATGTACATTCAATATTTACAGTTCTTTATTGTTTTTTGATTATTTTTTTTTAATGTTTTGTGCCAGGCGACAGTTTTGAACAATGAATATCAATGTTGTCTTTCCTGACTTTTTTCATGTACAAATTGCAGGTGATAGTGCTGAAATATGTATTTTTGCCTCAGAAGCCATATTCATGTTGCGGACTACATGACAGGGCTATGAGGCCATCTCTCTATCAAACGCTATCCTGGCGTCAACCAGGCCCGGCTGAATACCTGCAAACCTTAACCGAGGTTCCCCGAAAGTCGCATTCATTTGCGAATGAATCTCGGCCAGTGCAAATGGCCTTCCCATTGAGTCTGTGGCACACTCACTCAGGGTAGGGGGTGACCCTTTTTGGTGTTCTGCCAACCATGAGTCTGATGCAACAACCACTATGATACCAGTGACCGGTTCTCACAAGTCTCCAGTGAAAACTGATTTTTGAAGTGGTTCATATTTACATGCAAGCTAGTAACCAAGCAAGCTGTGTCATTCATGCCAATTATATGATATGTGTGAAAAAACAGTCAGCATTATGCTGTAAATTTGCATTTTTGATGACAGTATTTATTTAAAGTACCTATGAAATGCCTCCTGTTTCCTTTCTTATATTACACTTGATATATATAGTATAAGTTCTAATCATTCTATAGTTGGAAAAAAAAACAAAAAAACAACCATAACCCAAATAAAACTGCTGCAGAGTAAGACAGTGATTTTTTTTTTAAATGCTGCAGACAATTTATTGTTCTCCCTGACCAAATGTGTGTGGATGTTGATTTTATTTCTTTTCATATGTAATTTTATCTAGTATGTAAAAATTATGCTGAAATCTACCAGCTAAGATTCTGATAGTCAATCTAAAGTATATTTGACAGTCATATGCCTGACATTTGTAATTGAACAGCAATTTCATTCTAGGTGCACTTGTAATAACTGTGTTGCTATGTCTTCAGCGATAGAGTGCGTTTGTTTGCTTATCACAAGTTACATTCAAGATAGAGAAGTCTCAGCATGTAGAGCATCCAGAATTTGTATCTGTGTATCTGGAAGTGTGGGTGTTACAAACTACCTGCTATCATTATATGCAACAATATAAGGATGAGATTAAGATATATGAGTAAGCAAACACAAGAGGATACTATAAACCAATTTATTTTTCACTGCCAGAAATTACAGTACAAGCTTACTGTCCATCTATGTTGTCAGATTCGTGTAAATTTTTAAAATTAAAGTGGTTTACAATATATATATATATATATATATATATATATATACCTGAATATTTGGTGTTCAAAAAACAAATTTTTCAAGGCATTTATGAATTGTTTGACTTAAAATTGTTGTCTGTGAGAACAGACAATGTAACTCAGTGTCATGCCAATATTGATAATAACATGATCAAAATCTTGTGTCATTGACATTGTATTTTTGAATGACCAGAAGAAAAAAAAAGTTCCCATCCTTGGATATCTCATTACTATGTATTCTTCATGAGAAAATACAGGTATATTGCATCCAGGCAAGTGGTGAGATGGTGTTGTGACTATTTTTAAAAAGATATAAGAGATATCACCAGTCTACTCTGTTCAAATTATAATAAGAATAAATTTTTTTCCATCAGAAATTGACAAAAGATTAAAGTTGCCACAACTCTGTTCATCGAGATGTATTATGAAAAAAACTCGGCTTATATGAAAACAAATTTATTTTCTAAATACTATCAACACAAAACAAACATTTCATTCATTTTTATACATATTTATCAATCTCAAAGACAAGCGAATCCAACCAGCAAGCGATGTGTGCAATGACATCATTTGAAAGTGTTTCAATATTATTCCATCTGCAATTCAAAACCACTCATTTTAGTTTGAATTGTGCAAATGTATAAATATTTATAAATCTTGTATATTAAGAGTTTAAACCAAACTAAATTTTCCATAAACATTCAACTGTGAACAGTAATCTTGATCAACAGATGGTTACCTGACTCAAAGTAACCTTGTATGATTGGTTTATGTTCAATTTGTCTAAAGTCTTACTAATCAAACACCATGATGAACCATAAGATACACATGAGTCTTGTGTGTCTCCCCTTTTTCAATTTATTAATATTTACATTATGGAGTAGACAGGATGCATCATGCTGACAATTCACCAGTCACTATTATTATTATTATTATACCAGTATGAAAATGAGAAAGCATATGGTGTCATATGGTAGGTATGCTTATAATCAAAACAATTACCGTACTTATCCGGGTAAGAGCCCATGCCTGGGCAAACGCCCAACCCCCACTTTTGACACAATAAAGGAGTTGAGGTCATATCCGAGCACACGCCCAGGGGGTCTTTTTCTACAAAAAAAAAACTATTTTCTATTCGTTGACTGTGGTTGTAATTAACAGTTGACTTTCTTGAAGACTGTCGTGATACTTATAAAAAACGTTAATTGCATAAAACAAGGGGTGAACGCAAAATAGCTGTGACAGCTTTCTGCCTTCAGGGCAGCGCGTTCTGAATCATAATAGTCAGCAAGTCTATAAAAATATATATTAAAGCAGAATCGGTAGTTCTCTTTTTAAAATATGTCGTGGCCCTAAAAATGGCCGGCCGTTTGGGTTGTGCTTCCTTATTAACTTAGAAACAATTCAGGCAAATCGTAAAAGGAGAGCCGCAAGTGTCGCACTCGATCGGCTTTAGCGCCGTCGACAATGAAACCAATGTTGCAATATTGTAGCAACCCGTACCTGGAGAGTGGTTGAAATCACGTTATTTTGGCTTAATAAAATA